GATATAAGTATGGCAACACCTGCTTTCTTTTGTTTGCCATTAGCTTGGAGTATTGTCTTCCATCCTTTCACTCTGAGCTTGTTTGTCTTTAGAGCTGTGTTCCTGGAGGCAGCATACTGTTGGGTCTTGCTTTTTAATCCATCCCACCACTCTGTGTCTTTTGATTGGAGAATTCAATCCATTTACACTTAGACTGATTATTGATATATGAGGGCTTAATGTTGTTATTTTTTCGTCCATTTTCCAGTTCTTTTGCATTTCTTTTGTTTCTCATCCCTTGTGTTTCAGACTACCAATTCAGTGTGGTAGTTCTGTATGATGATTCTTTTAGTTTTCTCTTTATTCATCATATGTGACTCTGTTCTGATTGTTTAGTGGTTACCATGAGGTTTGTATAAAAAATCTCATGGATTAGACAGTCCTTTATCTGAGGACCTCTTATTTCCTTAGACTAAGTCGATTCGATCCCCTTCCTCTTCTGCTTCTAATTTATTATTGTCACAACTTATTCCATCTTCTGTTGTGTGTGCGTGTTTAAAGTGATGAGGTTATGTTTATTTTTGGTGCTTTCCTTCCCTTAATCTTTGATTTTTACAATTAAGTGTTTGCAGCTCTATATCAGAATAGGTTAGCAATTTTTCTGATTTTGTCTATCTATTTTTCTCCTTGCTCAAAGTTTTGTGTCTCCTTTCTCTTTTTTTTTTTTTCCAGGCATGAGGGCCTTCTTGAGCATTTCTTGTAGTGGGGGTCTTGTGCCAATGAAATCCCTTAGCTTTTGTTTATCTGGGAAAGTTATTATTTCTCTATCATATCTGAAGGATATTTTCACTGGATAGAGTATTCTTGGCTGAAAGTTTTTGTCACTCAGAATTTTGAATATACCATTCCAGTCTCTCCTAGCCTGTAAAGTTTTTGTTGAGAAATCTGCTGAGAGCCTGATGGGAATTCCTTTGTATGTTATTTATTTATTTTTTTGTCTAGCTGCCCTTAATATTGCTTCTTTGTCATTGACTTTTGCCAGCTTTACTACTATATACTTTAGAGAGGGTCTTTTCATGTTGATATATTTAGGAGATCTAGTGACTTCATTCACTGGTATTTCCAGATCCTTCCCCAGATTGGGAAGTTCTCAGTTATTATTTCCTTGAACAAGCTCTCTGCTCCTTTTCCCCTCTCTTCTCCCTCAGGAACATCTATATTCCTTATGTTGCATTTCCTAATTGACTCAGATATTTCTTGGAGAATTTCTTCATTTCTTCTTAGTCTTAGTTCTCTCTCTTCCTCTATCTGGAGCATTTCTGCATTCCTATCCTCAATAATGCTAATTGTTTCCTCCATATTGTCAGCTCTGTTCTTTAAAGATTCTAGATTTTCCTTTATCTCCTCCATTGTGTTTTTCATCTTCAACATTTATGATTGGTTTTTCTTTATGGTTTCAATTTCTTTTGTGAAGAAATTCCTGATTTCATTGAATTGTCTATCTGTATTTTCTTGTAATTCGTTGAGGTTTTTTATGATAGCTATTTTGAATTCTCTGTCATTTAGGTTATAAATTTCTGTGCCTTCAGAACTGATTTCTGGGTGCTTGTCATTTACCTTCTGGTCTGGAGATTTAATATATTTTTGCATCATGCCTGTGCATGTTGGCTTATTTTTCCTCCGCCTAAAAATATCTAGTCACAGTTTCCACCTGCTGCCACTGGGTGGGGGTCAAGAGCTGTGTATTCTGAGCCTGATGAGATCCGTGGGCTCTCCGGCTGATGGGTTGTGCTGAAGTGCCAGGCATGCAGGGCAAGGGGCTCTCTCTTTTGCCTGCCCAATCCTGGGGGCTTCTCATTCTTCCCTTGCTATCTGCTCTCCTGGGGTGCTCAGATGTTGATGGCACCCCCACAACAGTTCAGTCTCCTCCGTATGGAAATTTCCCATGGGCTGTGAGAGAACTTGGAGAGTGACGGTCTTCCCATGGAGGGCCACCCCTCCCCCCTCTCTTTGGGAGCTGTGGGGAACCAGAGTTGCTGATTGAACAGGGAGGGGAAGGATTTCTCCTTACCTCTCCCCACTTCCTCCAGAGGTTCCAGCACCTTCGCCTTCAGATATATGGCTGTGTGGGTCTCTCAGACGTTTTTGTGTTGTGTGAGTGTCCTTTGTTGGTTTGTGAATGTCCTTATTGTTGTATCTTAGCAGGGAAGAGTCTAAAGGGGAAAGCTCACTCCGCCATGATGCTGACATCACTCCCCTCTATATTAACTTTTTATTAAAATAAATTGTCAAATCCCCTCTTCCAGTTACCCATGACTTCAGGGACTTCTATAAGATCTCATGGCACTAAATTCATGATTCCAGTCCCAATATTTGAGATTATTAGCTCATTACCTTTCAGACAGATTTTCAAGAAGATGGCTTTGCATCCTATCACAGAGGTACAGAAAACAAGCAGACCAAGATCTCTCCCCAGAAGGTCAGCAAGTGGTGATCTCAGAAAAGAAGGGAAAGGTTGGGAGCATCTCCAGGGCTCCAGGGAAAGTGCTCTGGGAGGTGAGTTTGCAACTTGTATGGATACTTTCTTTTTTTTTTTAAAGATTTTACTTATTTATTTATTTTCCCCCCAAAGCCCCAGGAGACAGTTGTATGTCATAGCTGCACATCCTTCTAGTTGCTGTATGTGGGACGCGGTCTCAGCATGGCCGGAGAAGCGGTGAGTCGGTGCACGCCTGGGATCCGAACCTGGGCTGCCAGCAGCGGAGCACGCGCACTTAACCACTAAGCCACGGGCCCAGCCCATGGATACTTTCTTAATCAGCAAGACCAGATCTGTTTTGTGCATCCCTGGCTGTACAGCATCTAGCACAGGACTGACCCACGCTAGATGCTCAATAAATGTATGTTACATCAGGCCAACAGAACAGAATGCAGATTGAACCACACCACTGTGGCTGAACCCTGCGACGCCCCCTCCCTCTCAATACTCAGGGAAGCATAACTCAAGTTTTTTCTGATGGTAGAAATGGTTGGAGGAACCTAGAAAATGCATTTCCTATTCTTTGCAAAGCCCCAGTACTAAATAGTACAGAAGTAAATGGCACTGTCAGGTTTGCTTCTATAATTGTCAAAATACATCCAGGGGTTAGGAGAAATATATGAGGAGATCTGGTTTTGGCCTCATTTGTCTCTGCTGTGGAAAAGTACTCTGGTGGACCTCACATTCTTTTCTGCTCTCTCTGGCATTCTCCTATAAATGATCCCAGGCACTAGACTCTACATCTCTAAATTTAGGGTGGGAGGAAAAGGCTAATTCATGTCAATTATGGCCTCCAGTTTAAAAAGCTATTTCTCTTAACATTTTCTCAAACAGAAAGAAAAACCAGGTTCTTACTCTCATGGGGTTTACAGTCTGGACAGATGCTGAGTTGTTGAGTGTACATGGTAATGAGGTTATATACTAGTTCTATATGACTATCATTTCAATGTTTTCTTATCGCACTGTGTATTTAGAAATTTAAATAGCAGGAGAGAAAAGGGATAAAACTAGCTTTGAATTAGAATTGACAACAATACTTAATTACCAAGCTAACTTTCTGCTCTGATAAGGCAAGTACCAGTGATCTGGAAAGACTGTGGGGAAAAGTTCCCCTTGAAATGTTTATAAGAAAATCTCAATATTTGGAGTCAATTCTTAAACTATGCACTTTTCTCTTTTCATGATATGACTGATAAGTTAGATCCAGAGTAACAAATGACTGTTTCTGTTGGAAAAGTATGTGGATTATTTTGGGTTGTGATTTTCTAAGTTTAAGGTGATGATGATATAAATAGTTAACAGTAAGTTATGTGATTTAAGGCTTTCAATGGTGAACTCTGAAATTAGTGACATACGACCTATTAGCTTACGGACTTCTGAGAAAAGCTCTAAAAAAAGATTTCTTTGGAGAGTCTGGAGAAAGTCTGAGCTGTGTTAAAGAAGCAACTGCTTCTGTCATTTCAGGAGAACTGCCTCCCTCTCTTTTTCTACCTTGGCTGGGACCAGGAGAGGGGCTGCCAAGGTTGGATTTCTAATTTTCCCTTGAAACTACTGCCTATGGAAAATGTTATTTCAGAAGTTAGAGTTAAAATCTCCGCCTCTTTTTTTTTTTTTTGGCAAGTCCAGACTCTCTTTATTTTCCCCTTTCATTTATGGCAAGCTTGGACTTGTTTGGAATAAAATAAAGGATCAAACATAACCTCAAAGGCTTTCTTGCTGAACAGTGCATCCTGGGGACAAATTACACAAGAAAGAAAAACAAAATGGTCATAAGGTTCACAACATAAACTACATCGAAAAAATTCTTCAAAGAGTTTGCATTTTATTTTTTGCCCACAAATAATTAGCTAGTTAGACTACTGTTGGAGAATCTGTAATTTCCAGTAAACGAATTATTTTCCTTAATGTCAGGAAACCGCAAAACGCAATTTTTAAAATTCTTACAATCTAGACAATTAAACATGGGACAAACTACTTCTCTCTGCAAGTCCTTACTTTGGATTTCATGGTTAAACTCATTTCTCCTATGTCTGAACTTCACCTCTGTCTATATACCCAAGCCAAGAAAGAACGACAAGAAAATGACATCTCTGGGTTCCCAAAAGAGTGGGGGCAGCTTTTGTGAATTGACTGTTAGCACAAGTTGGGTAAGCTGTTGGGATGTGGGAGTCTGTGATATCGGAAAATCTTTTCTATATATACACTCGTCCTGCAAGTCTTCACTTTCTTGGCGCACGCATCAAAACCTCAAAATAAAACCACCAACAAAAAGAGACCGGGAGGCGTCGCCCATCCCTCCCGGCATCCCCGCGGCTGCCAACTCCTCCCTCCCATCTGTGTCGTGGGATGCCCACAGGAGGAGCCGCGGGAACCAGCGCGGGGCGCGGCGGCCGTGGACGCCCTGTCGGCTCGGACCCGCGAGGGGGCGCCCGGCTCTCCGGCCGAGCGGGGCGGGGTTGGAAAGGAAAGCGCTCGTGCCCACCTTGCTCGCAGGTGCCCTTGCTGACCTGGGTGATGGCCTTCTCGCCGCGGCTCTCGGCCCGCAGGCTGGCGGCGCGCAGCTGGCACCCGCTGGGGTAGGTGACGCCGTCGCTGCCGCACACCGGGTAGCGGCTCTTGCACACGCACACGCCGCTCACGCCCGGGCCGCCGGCTGCTGCCCCGGCTTTACCCTTCCGCCTCTTGCGGCTCTTCACGCACTCCATGCCCGGCGCGCAGTGCCCCCTGCCGGCGCCGCCGCCCCCGCACGGCTCGCCCTCGCCGCGGGCGCACACCG